CGCTGAGATTTTGAGCTGCGATCTTTAAACACTGTCTAATAATAAACAGGTTATCCTCTTTCAGCTCTTTAATCGATAACCTCCTCGATAGTATCGACAATGTTGACTTATTTCCGTTTCCAAGCTACGTTGATAGGTTAGGATTATTTTGATTATTTTTATTAATATTTCATTAAATAAAGTTAACTTAAGTGCCTTAATCATTAAATTATATTGTTATCCTGTTCTCAACAGAAAATGAAAGTGAAACTTTATTTAGATCATCTCAATCCAGCCTTTTATCGTAAAATGAGGGAGGCCATCGTCACTGGGAGTCCTGATTTTTTGTTTCTTGTTAAAAATGGCTACAAGAAGATGTTTCATGTTGATCTTCTCACCCTTCTCTCAACTGTCATCCACAATCATATCAGATCATGTCGTGCTGATGGTTTTAAAGGTGATAGTATGATGCTTCCATCCCTTGGCAGCACTGAAATTGATTGTTTACATGAGCTCATCTACAAGGATGTCTGTGAAGTGGATCAATCCATGGTTGATGTTGTGGTTAAAGATCTTACAGAACTTGGATTTTCTGTATCAGATGGCCCCATGAATAACCAAGTTCCCAGTAATATCCAGAATACTACACAGAATAACACACAAAATAACACCCAGAGCAATAATAATAGCAATGTTCAAAATAATGTCCAGGATCAAGTGCAAATTGACGTCAAAGAAAACCAAGAGGAACGAAACGATCAAAATGATTTACACAACGGTGTTCAAAGCGATGGTCACAACGACACTCAAAGTGATCGCCACAGTGATGTGCAAACTGACGCACACAATGAAGTTCAAAATACTACCTTCAATGATTCAAATGATCATCGAATGGATGTCCTTAATGAATCACAAAACGAGGTAAACAATAATGTACAAAGTGATAACCTCGATACTCCGGTATCAACAGGTAAAAAACCGAGAGGTTGCAAAGTTAAATACCCTCTATCACCTGCCCAAGAAGAATTAGTTAAATTTTATAGACTAATTGAAGAAAGCCTTCCAAACCCAAAGCCTTATTTTGTTGGCAAAGATGTCAGGTGCTTCCACTGTAATCAGTTGTATCCCAAAGTCAGACTCTGGAAGGAGCATATTATGAACGATCATTACCACCGTGCCCAGACCTGTGAAAATTGTGGTGAAAGTTTCACATACACATTTTATCTTCCACAGGCGTACATGTATTCCTAATTCATCATAACTAGTGATTCTGGTCAAAAGAAAATCTCATTAACTTACTATCAACTATCAAATGAAACCTACTTTTTCACAGAAAAAAAATAAAATCGATTGCAATTTACTCATCTTGACTTTTTTAACCTTTTTTATTTGTAATCCTCAACATAAAGTATTAATACAAATGTATGGCTTTTTTAAGGCTACTCTCTTATCAACTTTAAACATACATATTAAATAACTTAATCTGAATGACAAAAGGTTAATACAAAATTCTGTTTAAGTTTATAATTGTATTTCTCACTGAATGAAAAGCGAATTACAGAATATATTTACATAATACTCCTCGCACTTAACTTTTTTTTATTTTATAACATCGTTTAAACGAAACTTTATTTTTGAACGAGCAACAGCCAAGGTTCAGAATAATTTGACTGGTTTGCGCCCAATTGTTGGTTGTTTTGTTGGTTGGGAGGGGTTTTCAGTCGTCCGATTAAACTTTTTGTCACCAAAAAAAGTGTTTATGAATTAGCAAAAAAAGAGATTTAATAAAAAAGAGATGTGATTGAGGTGGCAAAAGATGAGATGTGTTTGAGAAAATCCCTTCGTGGTAATGACTTTGCTGATGCTTTATGACAATTATGACAGTGCTTCGATCGGCACAAGCTTTCGCATTTCACTTTTCTTGTTGTGTAGATGTTAGTTTGTTAACTTTTAGTCTTTGTTTTTTTATAATGAAAACAGTTTTACAGGATCTCACAAAATTGCCCAAGCGTCTTCATTAGAGTTATTTATTACAGAACCCAAAGTTACAAAACTTTTGGTCGTTTGAAAACCCTTGATCAATTAAGTTCGTCTTTAAAATTATGCTAAATTTAAAAGGGTCTAGAATAATTTGAGAATATAAGCTGCAATTGAGAATATTATTATGGCTGGACTGATCCGGGAAATGGATGAAGAGCCCCTAACTGCTGAAGCTTGAACTGTTAGATCTACATCTTGCATCAGAATTGTGTCGATCTCGTGGATGTATCCATTTATTGCTTTGATGTCTGGGCGAACAATGGTACTCTTTAGTTGCATGAATTTAAGGACTACTTGTGTTTGTCCTGATGGTGAAGCTTTAGTTTCAATCATAAGTTGTGAGTTGACTGTTTGCACAGATTTCATTGTGCTCAAGTTTTCCAAAGAGATGGCCTGTCTTTCAACCAAATGTCGATTTAATATATTCATAGCATTATCTGCATACAATCCATCAACTAATTGCTTGTAGGAAGATGGATCTTCATCATGAAGTTTTTTCCAGGCAGCTTCGGAAGGAGCAAAAAAGGTGAAATTTTTAGATTTGTCACCTAATCTAGCCAGCCAATCAGATCGCATTTTCTCAGCAACAGTGAAGGTGGTTTTAAGTTGTGGATCCTCTCGGAGTTTATCTTTAATGGGCGAACTTGGAATACCGAGAACCTTATTAATGACATGGATCACACCATTGGTACATGAAATGTCTTGTAAAACTGTAGCAGCCTTAACTCCATCACCTTCAACATAAAGTCTATCTCGGTCAACAGAAAAGTGTAACTTTTTGGAGGGTGCAAGAGAAGGAGCTTCCTTAATCATGCCAGCATTTTGAGAGTTGATCGTTTTGTGGTCAGCAAAATGTAATTTCATAAGATCTTCCATAGCAGTCCTGTTTTTGGAAATCACAGCAATATCATTCTTTACTGATTCATAGGCTTCATTGGTAAAGGCAAACAAGGTCAATTTTGTGTTGCTTTCTCCACGAGAATAGACAGGCCTGAGGCTAGGGAAATCTTGCAATAAAGTATAAAACTTTGATAGAGATGTTCCACTTTCTTCATTAAGGTAATCCAAAATAGACATATCAGTGATGACCAATGGCTTTTCGATGATATGGATCACTCCATTGTTGACAGGAATATTTGCTCGTGTAATTTTAACTCTAGTGTTACCCAAATGAGTGCTGATGGATCCCTTGGTATTGGAATAGATGAATGATTTCATTGAGCCGGAATCAGATCTTTCTTCCTTGTAAAGCTCGACAGTTAAGTTACTTGAATCAGCTTTAGTTTTGTAGGGAGTTGAATTATTCATAGATCTTAGGAAAAGTATTTGATTTGGAATAACGTGACCGAGCAAAACATTCGCATCTATTTTTGCTGCCGTTTTGCTATCAATATTCTCTGGTACGAAAAAGGTACATTCAGCACAATTTGAGAATTGGAAAGTAACATTTTTCCTCTCAATAAAATCTGCGAAACTATCCACACCACCTCTAACAGATACAGAAGGGTAGATGTTGCGATTTTTGATCCATTCTAAAGCATTAGGAGCAACCGGATCTCTAGATTTAGGGAGATTCAAAACACGGTCAATAATGTGAACCATTGAGTTACCAACTTTGTGACTTTCAAGAATTCGTGCATCTAAAACGAAAATGGCGCTTCGGTTGGTCATTCTGTCGAAGCCGCTACTGAATCTCAGCCTAGATCGTGTGGAGTCCAAAGTATCCTTGTTTCTTATCTTTAACAGGGTATCTGCGTCAAATGAACCAAAAACCAAGTGGGAACTAATGATGTCATTAGATGGCTCAGAAAATTTCCCGAAAGCATCGTTTGTGGGTATAAAAGCAGTCACTCCAAAAGCTGTATTCTGAACAAATGGCTTGTAATTCGCATCAGATTTATCAACTTGTTTAATCCATTCTGAATATTTACCAGATTTTTGCGCCCATCCATAAATGTTTTCAACTTGACCCAACGTCACTTGAGTCAAAAGAGAAAAGCACAAAAATAGTGACAAAGTGAACATTTTAAATAGAAAAAAAACACAAAAAATATTAAATTATGGCCAGTGTTTTTCTTGGAATTGTAAAAGTGTTAATGATGAGGGTTTCAACAATAGTGGCTGAGTGACCCAAGAAGTTGGTCGATGATGAATTTATTATAAGTAACAAGAATAAAGAGATTAAATTATTGATGAAATTGAATAGAAGGAATGTTGATAGAAGTCCGGATGGTGATCACTTGTATTGCCCACTGATTAAATAAAATTAGAACACAATTAACGAAAAAAAACAATTACCTGACAATGCGAGTTGAAGAAGGAAAGAAAGAGGGAAAGAGAGAGAGAGAGTTGAAGAAGATAAGATGAAAAAATTTGAACAGAGTGAGAGAAGAGGTATGAGGGAGAGAGAGATCAGAGACAGAGAAGTAGAAAGAAAGCTTAACTCACAAGAGACCCACGCCCAAAACAAGGGGAACTCAACCGGGAACGCAGGCGCAATAAAGTTTAATTCTAACTTGAATCAACCAATGAAAACCATAGGAACAGGTAAGTTAAGTCTTACTTTTCTGTTTCTTTCCTTTCGAGTCCATCTTTTTTCGCTTTCTTTATTTCAAATTTACCCTCACCTTTTTTTGCCTTCATCTTCATCATTTTCTGCTTCTTTTATCCTCAGCTAGCCTCTTAAACCAAACGTATGTAAGCCGGTTTTTAAAAAGAAAGGGCAAGAGAGTGAAAAATGAGCAGCCATGATAACAAGTAGGAGCAAAGCAAAAGGTTGTTGTTTCCTCTTTTTCTTACGTTTTTTGGTTGTTGTGGAGCTTATCAAACATGTCTGATCAATCAAGTTACTATTAATTCTGTTGACTTTCATCATCTTCTTCATCATAACCATCATCATCATCTTCACCATCTTCATCATCATTTTAATCATCATCATATTCATAACCATCATCACAAAAAAAGAGTTTTATTTTCAAAACAATCTTTAATTATGATATTTTACTGCATTTTGCCTTATTAGTCAACCAGAACAGTAATG